GGGGGGTGGGGAGGGGAGCTAGCTCCCCCCACTGGTGAGGATTTTTGCACACGAGGCCGGGTCAGCCCTGCGGTGGGTGGGGGACGACTCCATCCGCCCCCCCACCCCTTCCTCCTGGGCCATGCCAGACCTTCCCCCCACCCTGGCCAGCTACTGCTACCTGAGGGGGTCAGGCCCGGTTTAAGCAGTCGCCATAGTAACCAGGACGGTCTCCCAGCTGGGGCCTTGAGGCTGCGGGATGGGGGAGGCCGGCAGAGAGCCAGGCCGGGGAGGGAGCCCCGGGCCTCAGCCCGGCTCTGAGGGGTGCTGCCAGGCTCGCAGACAGGCTGGGGGGCGACAGGCTCTGCGCCCGTGTGGCACTGCCGCGGAAGGGGGCTCGAGGCGCGGCAGGGAACTGGGGGAGCCCATGGCGGGATGTTGGTGCAGCTGGCATTGGTGCCGAGGGCCGCGCCCCAACCCCCCGCATGTGCCTGGAGCAATCCCTGCGTCTCAGAGCGGGACGAAGGCCTGAGTCCCACAAGTCAGGCAGCAGGCCAAGGGCTGAGTGATGCAGCACCAGAGCCAGGCTGCCTGCTCTCACCAGTAGGCCGCACTCCCTCTGCCTTTGCCAGTAGCCAGGGCACGCAGCTCTGTCTCCCTCAGCACCAAATCCAGTCTGGGGAGGAATCTGCCGGTCCCAGGGCCTGGCAGAAGCGAAGGCGAGTGCTGGTCCAAGCCTCCTGTCCTCCCTGCCCCAGCACACATGGATTTGGGGTCATGCCGTGGACCCAGGCATCAGACTAAGTTGTTCCCTGCCTGTCCCACTCCCGAGGCCTCGCTGTGGGGCACGAGCCAGGCTCTCTGCGGGCCAAGGGTAGAAACGAGCCCAACTCCAGCATGAAACTGCTCCCTCCCCGAGCTGTAGCAGGGAGCACTGGGCCTGGCCTAGCTGCTGGGTGGGGAGAGCCGATTTCAGGCCCCCCCGTGGGGCAGCACGTTGCGGGCCTGCTGCAGACCGGCCCCAAGACCCCAGCGTGGGAGAGGTGCCCAGACACCATGGTGATGGGTGGGAAGGCCAAAGAGCTGAGGGAGATGCGGCTAGCCATGGGCCGTGCAGCCAAGCACAGAGGACTAGACGCTGGAGCTGCCCCGGAAGCCAGCCCAGCCTCGCGGAAAGCAGAGCCACTTCCCAGGGCGGGGCAGACCCCAAGCGCCCCCATCTCACTGCTCCAGGGAGACGCATGCCCCGCTCCCAGGCTGCCACCCACACCAGCCCCTCCCAGTCCCATGTGACCCGCTGCGGGCCACACAGGGCTGCCCTGTGCCCAGTCCCGGGGGCGGCGGGTTGAGAATGCAGCTGGGAGCCCAGGGGTGCTGGAAGGGAGAAGCCAGCCTGGGTGGCTGCTGGCCTGGCCCCAGGGGCTCCGACTGGGGCTGTGGACGACTGGGCTCCCAGGCTGCCACCCACACCAGCCCCTCCCAGTCCCATGTGACCCGCTGCGGGCCACACAGGGCTGCCCTGTGCCCAGTCCCGGGGGCGGCGGGTTGAGAATGCAGCTGGGAGCCCAGGGGTGCTGGAAGGGAGAAGCCAGCCTGGGTGGCTGCTGGCCTGGCCCCAGGGGCTCCGACTGGGGCTGTGGACGACTGGCAGGAGCTGGGCCGGCTGCAGTTATGGAATCGCCCTCTGCAGCGCCCCGGCCACGCGCAGCCGGCCCGGTTTCCTCACAACCACCTGGGTTCGTTGGGGGGGAGAGGGGGGAAGGAGGGGCAGCCGGGTGCTGGATTCTGACCTCTGGTCCCCTTGCAGGTGAGCGAGGACTGGAAGTACGTGGCCATGGTGATCGACCGCCTCTTCCTGTGGATCTTCGTTTTCGTCTGCATCTTCGGGACCGTTGGCATGTTCCTCCAGCCGATCTTCCAGAAGT